TCTCATAGATAGCTTGATGCCATTCTTGCAGGATTGAGTGAGTTCTCACTCTTAGTTCCCATAAACTCTAGATACAAGAGGGTTGGCATCTCCCCCTTCCCTTTCTCTCTTCCCATGCGACATCTGTTCCCCTTCTTCTTCCTCTGAGGGTGGAAGATACCTAAAGCCTTCACCAGAAGTAGATGTTGCTATGCTTCTTGTACAGCGTGCAGAAGTGTGATAAACATTTAATTTTTTATTTTATTTTTAGTAAATCACATTTTACTAAAGTTTATTTTTAGTAAATTACCCTGCTTCAGGTATTCCTTCATAGCAACATACATGGACTAAGTAACAATCCCAATAAAAACAGTCATTTCAAATTATGTTCTCCTATGTCCTCTTGTGTTTCAGAGAGATTTTTCTGCATAGAGTGAACATATCATAATTTTAGTCAATGAGAGAGAAATGCCAAGGGAGAATGGCCTTTTCTAAATTTAAATTAATGGTTTTCAATAAAATTCCCTGTGATCTATCAGATTCACATTTATTTTTTGTTGCTGTTTGGAATGTGGTTTGATACCAGAAGGTGGAGCAGTCAACTTGAGTAAGTGTGAACACATTGACTAATTGTAGACAATATCAGAGAGGGTAAATGGGAACAAATTTATACCCCATAAAGTCCTTGCACTATTTTATCAGTCCTGGACTGCTACCTGTTCATCATGTATGAAATACAAAATACACAGTTTATTCAGATGCCATATAAAAGTCTTTTCTTCATATAGCTGAACAGAAATTAATACCTACAGAAGAAAATGTATTATATTTAAATTGTACCAACATTAAATGTGTGAATGTAGCCTGAAACCCAACTTTTTTGCTCCATGAATTAATATAAACGTGTCTGCAGACAGGATTTGTCTTAGGAGTTTTGCAGAGCTTTGCCCTGAAGGAATATGTGAACATGTTGGTTTGCATTTCAAATGCTGTTGCACTCAGAAGGGCGTCTCTGAAAGACAATAGTGGCTGTATCCCACAAGGCGCTGTGTTTTTCAGACCTAAAGGTCTGGATTTGCTTTGTAAAGCAAAGTGAATCTGTTAAAAACTACAGGATGAGAGCTGACAATGGAGTGCCCCCTGGAACAGACAGCTGTCCGAATGGCTAAAAGCAAGCTCCTGTTTAAACACTCCAGACTACCTGTCTCCATTCACAATAACCTAATAAATATGGAGCCAATATATCTCTGTTTAACCCCTCTGTTAGGTGATAAATTTACCTTAGAACTTAGAAGTTAATTTTTGAAAGATTTTGTAACCATTTGTTCACATAGATAGAATTAGTTAAAGGATTTGTAGAAGCCTTTTGAAAATCTGTTAACCTCAGAGGAACTACCTGTTGTTATGTAAATCTGTTACCCCTGGCAATTAATCACTATTCCCTATAAGTTACCATGTAAGACCTCATTCGGGGATTTTGGACCCACGGAGAAGGTCTAGGCCCCCTGAGATCCCACTTTGCCTATAATCTTTATAAACTTATAAAACTATATCTTTGTCTCTGTGTATTCTTTTATTTTCCATTTTTCTCTATTATTTTCTTATCCCTTGCAACTCTACCAAAGGGACCCGGTTTTTTGCTGGGAGCTTAGCTACCTCCCCGCAAACTTTGTTGTACTTATTTCCAATCTACTTTCTACTCTAGACAGGACGGGTAAAAGGATAAGATAGGCTGTAAAAATCATGGATAATTTTAGCCAAAAAACTAGGTGAAATGTTTCAGGTTAAAATGCTCAAACAACTGACTGGCCAACTGCATTGCCACCTTTCCCTGTGCCTCAAACAGAGCAATCATGTGACTAGACTGATGAACCAAATTGAAATCAGGGTGGTCCCCGGGACCTGTGGATCAGCTTCCCTGGAAGGTCACCTACCTCCAGTAAATCTAACCTAAGTTGGGGTTATACTTTATATTTAGGCCTTGGGAAATGGGGATTCTGTGTTTACCCACAGGACACACCATGCTGATTCTGCGTACCACAGTCTCCCACAGGCATCTTCATTTCCAAGATTTGTACTGGCAACGTAACATTTTAAAGCTGTACCCACAAAGTTTGATTCATCCACCACTCCACCTACGTTCAACAAAAACTAATCTAAGCCTGAAAAATATAAGGATCTCTGACTTCTAGCAGTATTTGTTCTGTACTATGTCCAATAATTCTAAATTATGTTGACAGAATCCCACTCCCCTGATAATGAAAAACTGACCATATTACCAAAATGTCCATTCCATTTGCATCACATCTGTCCATAAGATGACAGAATCTGTAGCTACCCTGAGACTTGCAATGATGAAAATGAGCTCATTTTCAATCTTCTCTCCACATTCTAAAAGTGTTTTGCATATTTCCTTTCAATAAATCTCATCTATCTCTCTGAGAAATGGACATTGATCATATTTTACCTGTCTCCACATCTAGGCTATTGGCACTACTTCCCTTTTATTTCAATGAAGTGGTCAGAATTTTGTGTTTAAAACCAATAAACACCATAAAATTATCCAGTTAAAACCAATTTATCATTGCATTATAAATATTTTAAACCACTCTTCAGAACCAACAAAGTCCTGTGTGAGATGTCATGAAGAGGGAAGAGAAGGGAGAAAGATGTGGTTATAACATAACACAGGCAAAGAAAAAGAAGGGGTGTGGTGCATATGTATCTATGCATAAAATGAGGAAAAAACTGCAAATAATTAGGAAATGAAAAAAGCAGAATTCCCTTTCCTAAATTCACAAAAAGTCAGTTGTGCAGCCTGAAAACAGGTGTCCTCTCTCCATATTTAGAATTGATGCCGGTTCTCCACTCTGGATATTTCATTCTCTTACCTACATCTATAAACTCACTCCAAAAGGAACATTTTTCTTCTAACTTTGAAGCACTTATTAAACACACAGCACTGTCCTTTGTGTTTGTTCCTATCACATAAATGTCAAAACAAGTGCACAGTTTATGAAACCCCCCAGTTTCCACCTGAAAAGTTCAGCCCAGTAAATCAATACATTTTATGATGTCATGTAAAAGAATAGAAACAATGACAAAAAACTTTGAATATAGAGAACATAAAACGTACTAATTAAATATTATGTAACAAAATGTCACTGATGAAATATTCAGATCTTCAAATTAACATCTGAGCACCATGAAACCATTAGCATTAGCATAATAAAAGTATATATTGCATTCAATGTAAGTCAAAATAGAAAGTTTTATGCATTTCTTTGGCCTGGAAAGAGAGTATGTGCAAAAAAAAAAAATGGGGAAAATTATATAATTTAGAATTTAAAAAGTATGTTTTAAATTATATTCTCAGATAATCTTTATTATAACCATCATAGGCCGGGTGCAGTGGCTCACGCCTATAATCCTAGCACTCTGGGAGGCCAAGGCGGGAGAATTGCTTGAGCTCAGGAGTTCAAGACCAGCGTGAGCAAGAGCAAGACCCCGTCTCCCCTAAAAATACAAAAATGAGCTGGGCATGGTGGCACTCACCTACAGTCCCGGATACTTGGGAGGCTGAGGAAGGAGAATCACTTGAGCGCAGGAGTTTGAGATTGCTGTGAGTTAGGCTGATGCCACGGCAATCTACTCAGGGCAACAGAGTGAGACACTGTCTCAAAAACCCTGCCCGCCAAAAAAAAAAAAAAAAACCCAAAACAACAAAAACAAAATCATAATATCTCAAATACAAAGAGCAGAAAAGAATACAAATAGTAACTATGAGAAACATATTCTCTGAATTATAGGAATTTTAATTCCATGAGAAAAGTAAAAAGGGATTACTAATCATTCCACTGTGATACCCAAATAAAATATTATTTATATCTGTTTACCACAATCTTGGATATGATGGGATTGTTTAAGACAGATAAAATGATAGCATTGCATTCATTACACATCAGTGTTAAAACATTGAAAAAGTTATTTTTATTAATTAAAACAAATTATTTTCAAACAATGCCTAAAAAATGCATTTGAAAATCCATTTATGCTCATTGGTTAAAGTACAGTTACAAGAACTACAGAAGTATTATTTGTCTTCTGATATGTTAATATTAAAGTTATGATTCCTCCATTTTTAAAGGAATAGGGCTATTTAGTGAAAGTTGACATCAAATATAACATTCCACACAGAAACTATCTTTGTTTTTCTCTGATACCAATGAAGATGTATTTGCTGCTATTACATGAAATAGTATTCAACTCTTCTAATACGTCTTCTATCACATCAAATAATACTCAAGTATTTTACTTCATTCTACTGTAAAGGCATCTCAATATATTAACTAACTGACCAGAATTTACTACTTGGAGAGCAAGTAGTAAATGATTTATTTAGAAAATGCAGAATGTTTCTCTTTCTTTGATACAGAAAAATAATACTCTTGATGTGTACCATAGGCTTACATGCATCACTTTTTATTACATAATTCAAATACAAAGAGCACATTTCCCTAGATTTTCTTCATGTATTTCACATTTCTCATTATCCATCCATGATAAAATTGATATTAATGATGTACACTTAATATAGGTGTCTAGTAGTTCTGACGCATATTTTCATATAAACACAAGAGATTAAGGCATAGCATCAACTGATTTGAGGGTTATGTTATATCAACAATACTTGCTTTTCAAACAACTCAAATACTTTAAATACAAAATATTGACTGACTATAATTATGCCTGCCCAAATATCAATATTCTTGCTCCTTTGAAACAAATGAATTATGTCATTGCTTTGACTTTGGATTATTTTCTATAATAAATATTCTCATTTCATGTAAAGTTTCAAAGTGTCTATTTTAGTCCTCTTTTCTGTGAATCTCTTGATATAATTAGATGAGTTTTAATTAAATATTTCCCTTATGGCATCAGTAAAGTTTCTTTCTCTATGGTCTTTCTTGCAATTTCTAAGTTTTATATTTTTGATAAAATGTTTTCCTTATTTATTAAACCTATAGAGTTTTTCTACCATGAATTCTTTTATGTCGACTAAGATTTGAACTATGGTAAAAGGCTTTGCCACATTCTTCACATTTATAATGTTTCTCTCCAGTATGAATGCTCTGATGCCGAATAAGACCTGAAGCCTGAGTATAAGATTGACTGCATGCTTTACATTTGTAAGGTTTTTCTCCAGTATGAATTCTCTGATGCTGAATAAGACTTGAAGAATGACTATAGGATTTACTACACACTTTACATTTGTAAGGTTTTTCTCCAGTATGAATTCTCTGGTGCTCAGTAAGATATGATTTATAGTTAAAGGACTTGCCACATTCTTTACATTTGTAAAGTTTCTCTTCAGTATGAATTTTCTGATGATAAATAAGACTTGAATGATGAATATAAGATTTGCTGCATACTTTACATTTGTAGGGTTTTTCTCCAGTATGAATTCTCTGGTGCACAATAAGATATGCATTACAGTGAAAGGTTTTGCCACACTCATTACATTTGTAGGGTTTCCCTCCAGTGTGAATTCTCTGATGCTGAATAAGACTTGAAGAACTAGTATAAGATTTATTGCATGCTTTACATGTGTAAGGTCTCTCTCCAGTATGAATTCTCTGATGTTGAGTAAGATGTGTACTAGAGTTGAAGGTTTTGCTGCATTCTTTGCATTTGTAGGGTTTCTGTCCAGTATGAATTCTCTGATGTTGAGTAAGATGTGAACGTCGTTTAAAGGCTTTGCCACATTGATTACATTTGTACTGTTTCTCTTCAGTATGAATTCTCTGATGTTGAATAAGATGTGAACCACGTTTAAAGGCTTTGCCACATTCATTATATTTGTATTGTTTCCTTTCAGTATGAATTCTCTGCTGTTGACTAAGTTGTGAGATACGGTTACAAACTTTGCCATATTCATTACATTTGTAGAGTTTCTCCTCAGTATGAATTGTCTCATATTTTTTTAGACTTGATGATTGACTAAAGACTTTCTCACATTTATTATATCTGTATGCATTTACTCCAAAATGGATTCTTTGATGCTGATTATGATTTGATGACTTGGTAGAAGCTTCTAAACATTTATTACATTCATAAGACTTCTCTTGAATTTGAATACACTGATGGAAAATAAGCTTTGAATATTGATGAAAGATTTTCTCACATTTGTTACATTTGTAATGGTTCTCTGGAAAATTACTTTTCTGATGTTTTTTAGGGCTAGAGCCTTGGCTACAGGTGTTCTCAGACTTATACCATGAATAATTTTTGTCTCTAATATAAATATCCTGGTAATAATTTAGGGTGGCACCCTGGCTAACAGACACTGAAGTTTTATTATAAGTGTAATGTCTTCTCCAATTATCTATTCCCTGATATTGCTTAAGGAATGATGAATGGGTAAAGACCTTCCTGTACTGATCAAAGTTGTAGATTTTGGCATATTTTTGGTGGAAGTATAATAAACTTTTAACAAATGACTCATCACCTTGATCACATAGAGAAATATTCCCTTCATTTTTAAATCTCAGATCTTCAGAAATATTTGACTGAACATTTAATCCAATTCTACATTTCAATTGGTTCAAATTATTATTTGGAACACAAACATTGTCACTATTTAGATTTTCCAAATTTCCTTTCAGATAAAATTTATGTTCCAAAAGTTGATATTGATACTTATTTACAGAAATATGTGGTTCAGCAAAAGTTATGGACACAAATTGATATTTTTTCAAAAATGTTTTACATTTTTGACATTTTCCATCAGTGATGTTTTCATTAGAGGTAGGTGTCCTACATTTTTTGTGTCCATCATAACATCCATTCTGCCTTTCAAACTCATCTTCACTTTTCCAGTCTTTCTTTAAGTATATATTTTCAGGGCCACAACTCCCAAACATCCCTAATGTCCTTGTTTGTAATGGAGCTTCTATGCACTGCTTTTTCCACAGACCTTGGGTGTAATGAGAAAATATACCTGAAAAAAATTTTTTAAAAAATTAATTCCAACTACTATATTTGAGTGAATATACTTTACAACAAAAATACGTAAAATACCAAGCTGAGAACATCATAATGGTTGAATAAAAAATCTGAGGCCCTTGTTTCTTCGCTGATGTATGAACTTAACACAAATATGCTAAAGAAAAACCAACTGGGTTTGGGGTACCCCCAGTGGGTACAAAGCCAAGAAGAGACAAGTTAAGAAAAAGTTCATTACATTTGTGTGCCACAGCAGAGGGGAATCAGAAAAAAAAGTAAATAAATTTTACATTCCTTGTTTCTCCTTCAGGAAACAAAGGAAAGCATGAAACATGTGTCCAAGAATCTAAGTTTTTCTGGGGCTATCTAAAGATTGGTTATTGCTTCCTCTAATATGAAGTGTTAAAGGGAATAGAGATATAGTTCAAATTACAGGTCGGGTCCACTGAGAAAAAAAGAATGCTTTTACAGAGACACTGCACTACCAATGACATTTGCCAAGGGAAGCAAGAAAGTAAATGCTTTCTAGAGAAAACAAACTCTTTTTTAATGCAAAAATAAACAGTAGTCCAGAGAAAGCACATATTACTAACAGGTTGAAGAAATCCTTAGTGTGGTTGAATAGTGTCAGGTTTTCCCATATAAAGCCATTCCACAAAGGATAGGATAGGTAGCTCTTTTTAAAACGACCAAACTCTCAACAAAAATCACAATACATCAAAGAAACAAAGAAACATGGCTGTTGTTCTACTGCATAGTAAGACGATGATGTACAGTATTGTTAAACAGTAACAAATTGTACATTACAAAATAGCTGCAAGAGAGGCTTTTGAATATTTTTACTAAAAGAAATAATAAATGCATGAGGTAGTAGATACACTAAATATGCTGATTTGATTATTATACAACATACATATATAGAAACATCAAATTGAACTCTATAAATACATGCAATTATAATGCATCAATTTACAAAATGGACTAAGACTAAAATATAAGACCTATAATTGTAAAAATCCTTAAAAATATGTAAGAGGGAAACATCATGACAATTGGTCTTGGCAATAATTTGTTGGACATAACCTCAAAAAATCAGGCAACAAAATCAAGAATATATACATTGTACCACATCAGCGTATCCAAAATATTCCAAACATACTTAAACCAGAACACGGAATAGCTATTAGCATCCCCATGTACACTGCAGCATTATTCACAAAAGACAACACCTGGAGGCAACTCCAGTGTCCTTTTATGAATAAGTAGACAAAGAAAATGGGGCATATACCTATCATGGAATACTATTGAGCCTTAAAAAAAGACATCTTCACACACAATAGAGTACATAAGGATAAACCTTGAGGACATTATGTTAAGTAAAATAAGAGACATTTAAAGAGACAAACACTGTATGATTATTGATATAAAATATCTGAAGTAGTCAAACACATAGAAACAAAGATAGAATAGTATTCTTTAGTACCTGGAGAGAGGTGGAAAGAACAATTTGTTGTTTAATGGGTGTTCACTTTTACTTTTGTTAGTTAAAAATGATATAGAAACCTGTTACCAAACAATGTGAATATACTTATCACCACTAAACTATGCACTTAAAAATGTTTGAGATGACAATTTTATGTTTTTCACCACAATTAAAAATTTAAGACTATTTAGAAGAGATATAGTTTCAAATTTTTCAAAAATTACCCTCAAATAAAAAGTGTTTCTCTCACATAATATAGATTCAAATAATAATTAGATTATGAATTTAAAACTGTTTCTTTGACTGCTCACCTAGACAGGAAAAAATAATCATTGACAACAAAGAAAAGAAATATTCAACATATGTCATGAACAACATAGGGACAATACTTATACAAGCAGAAAACACACAGATATTTTTATAGGCCACAGTTATATGCTAAATTTATATATAAATTGAACATCACATGTCTCTAAGTGCACAGAGTTGAAAATGATCATCCCAAGTATATCAAGGTTAAAAAGCAAAAATATAATTATTTGACCTAATAAAACACACTTTAAAAAAAGAAACATAGTAATATGGAATTGAAAGCCAGAATAAGAAAAATTTTATGCAAAAAATACTGAATACAACGAAGATATACTATTGAAAAATAACCGTTTACATATCCACAATTTTCAATTGTGTGCATCTATGAAGAGAAGCCACTTTAATCATTGCCTTTCAATATATGGCAAGAAAACTTCACATAACATGCATCATAATCATTAATAAAATGCTCCTATAAGAAAATTCAAACAAACATTTAAAAAAAATCTAGAAAATCTATCTTATTATTTTATGAATATATTGATGCTATTTTTACACAACATGTAATGACTATAGTCTTCAGAAGCTAAGTAAAGTTTTATGTTTTTAAATAAAGGAACAACTTAAATGTTATGAAATATCATAAGAATTACTGAAAAAAATAAACATTTTGGATTAAATTATACCATAATTTAGATGTAGGCTAAGAAAAATAGATAAAATTTTAATGATTCCTTATTGCATCCAGTAAACTTAAACTTACATCCAAACATTTAAATAAATGTGGTGCCTTCTAATAATCTAATTCAATTCTTACATAGCATGTAAATTTAAGCATTTCATTTCAGAACTTTTGGATCTAAAAATCACAGACAATTTTGACATATATTTTAAAAAGTGAAACATACAGGAAAAGAACATAAGCAAGATAACAGAGCAGGAGGTCCCTTACCTGTAACCCCCACACTATAATGTAGCATCCATGCCAAAACAACACTGCTTTTCTGAGAGCTTTAAGATTCAGGTCTCAGTTTGGGATGGCCTGGTGGAGCCCAAGACCAAATAGGACCATTTAGAGAGGGCAGGTCTTTGCCCATGTGACAGGTTTGTTGAACATAGTCCCAGCTACAGAATAAAAAGTGGCCACATCCCACTGTAGCCCTAGCTATAGCCTATTTTGTCTTGGTGTTGCCATTAGCACCATCTGCCAAGATATCTAGAAAGATTCATACCCACCTGTGTCTCAGGTGAGAGACCTGATGACCTTGATCTTATTGATTGTCCCTGAATCAGCCTTAAACCACCTTCCTCACATTTTATCCATGCTCTGAAAAAAAGCTCCACCCATACAGTAATCTTCAAGAAGAAGCATACATCTGTGACCCTAGATGTAGGACAACCAACTTTGACTTAAATGTGGATCTTGAAACGACATTGCAAAGTGGCTGGCTCTAGCTGCATGCAGCCACAGTTCCAGGAGCAGGTTGGCTAATCTGGGAGCTGTCTAGAAGCACATATATGTGTGTCCATAAAAGCAGGCTTGCAAACATTAGTCTCACTGTGAATCTTAAGCACTCCTGTAACTCAGCTCCCTTCTCTGTCAGCCAGGGTCTGGGAGCAGACCTACTCACCTAAAAACCTGGAGGGAAACATGCTATGAATGCAGAGACAAATCTAAAGGCTTTGGTTTCAGCTGCAGCAGCCCTCTGAATCAGTTTTAGCCTCTCTCATCTGTGATCAGGGATCAGACAGGCCCACCCAAAGACCTGTCCAGTGACTGTGTCAGAGTACTCCCAGGGACTCACGAGGAGTCAAACCTGTTTCAAATCCATTTCATCAGCACACCATCTGAAGAAATAACTGCAAGTCCTTGTCTCAGCACCAGTTTTACTGATCAAGATTCTGAAGAAACTTCAGTCTTCCCAGGGAACAGACAGGACCGTGACTGCCTGATGCTCTGTAACTGGTCTGCCACTCATGTAATCCACTGAAGACCCAATAGCAGTCTTGGGATCTGGTTCTAACCTCAATTGACTGCAATCTCAGTTAAAATCTTATTAGCCCATTATTAGGAGAAGATAATTAACTCCTGAAACTAGTGTGTAATTATTAGAAAAGGTGCTAAATCCTTTAGATTCAGGGACATGAAAACAAGAATACGCAAATGATGAAGAATTAGGCAAGCATGATCACCACTCAAAGAAATTAATGAAGTTTCAGTAACCATCTGCAAAGAACTGGAGAAATAAGATATCGGAGAACTAGCTGACAATGAATTTAAAATAATCGTCTTTAAAAATCTTAATGAGATAAAAAGAACACAG